GGGTTGCTCAAGGCCAGGGCAGAGCCGTTGCCCAGAGGACACCAGCTGGCTCAGGGTTTCAAGTGGGACCTGCTGGACAAGCCCCAGTCACGCAGCCCTGGGAGAAGGGAGACCCTGTGCCTGGGGACAGGAGGGACAGAGCTGCTCCTGTGGCCTTGGTGTGACCGGGGAAAGGTGCTGCCGTGGCAGGGCCCGGGCTGCCGAGGGGTCTTGCTGTCCTACACGTCTGCTGCCGTGCCGCTGAGAGCCATGTGTTTCTGCAAAAGCACTGTCCAGAAATTCAAATTGTTCTAATTCTCCCTCTTTCCTGTGCAGGCAGCACAACTCCTTCAGCCTGGGGTGGTTGTTCATCATGTGCCTTTCACCAGCCGCAGCGAGAGGCTGGATTTGACATCCCTGCACTTCTGAGAACCTCCCAGGCTGGAGACACACTGACCTGGGGAAGGGAGAGGACCTTGTGCAGCCATCTCTCAGTCTCCTTTAACCTCTGCAAGTGCCTCTCGTTAGTAGGGTACAGATTAAACATTAAGCCCTTAAAAATATCCTGTGCCTCACAAAGCCAGCGCAAAGGCAGGGCAGGAACTGGCTTGTATGAATGGTCATGAGCGTACCCTTGTCGTGTGTACTAGAAAACACAGATCCAGCCCCTGCAAGTAGGTTCTGGCTGTGCAAGAGAGGGATCACGGCAGAGGTCATGGGATACAATTCAGACCAAAGGCTTCTGCTTGGAAGTTGTTTATGCTGATTAACGGGCTAAGAGCTAGCCCTTCCTTTTTCTTTCGGGCAGCCTTGGACCCTCTTCTTTGCAAACAGACCTTCAGGGCAGCCCAGGATTCGGGGCAGGCACCAGCTGGAGGTCGCTCTGACCCAGGGAACAGGCTCGAGCCAACATCTGCTCCCACCAGCCAAAGGAGAGGCACATCTCTCCCACCTACAGGCTCGAAATTCTCTCCGAGATGCCAGTCCAAGCTAGAGACAGCCCCAAACCCGTCAGAGGGTCGAGCACAAGGCAGGCAACCATCCTGGAGAGAGAGAGAGGTGCTTTGACTCTTCCTTGGAAACTTCTCCACTTGCCCCTACCTCCATGCCCAAGGCTGTGTCGAACATGTTATTTCACTGAATTTTCACTGAATTTTTAGAGTTGGAAGGGACCATAGAGATCATCTAGTCCAACTCCAAGTTAATCAAATTTCCTCTGCTAGTCAGTTATTCCCCCAGTGGTTTCCACTTCTGCAATTTCAAAAATCTGTACATGATTATGTTATTGCTCATTAGGGAAGGAAACTGTCCCAAGAAGACCCACACCCTCAGAAACACTGAGAATTACGGCTGAGTAGAGCCCTGCAGACCTTGAAGCTAAACTGCTCCTTCTACAGTCAACAGATCACGAGTGGGGAACAAACCCCGTGTACAACACATGGCACGGCTGCCAGTGAAGCTGTGACCTTGAGAAATGCTTTGCCTTTATCTGCCCCAAAAGAGTGGAAGATCACACTGCTATGTGGACGCTGCAGGAGATGTTCCTATAGCGGAAGAGAGAGCATACTGAACTTATGCATATAGGGTATGATAATCAGTATAAATTGGGCAGCTCCCTAGAGGAAGAGAATATCAACAAATACTTCTGTGGAACTGCTGAAATCACTTTTCCTCTGACTGTCTGGCGGGTGGGTAAGTGGGGGGACTCTCTGTTACCCAACAAGGGTGACACCCACGCTGCAGCCCTTCCCTCTGGGAAGCAGCATTAGAGGATCTCCTCCTGGTCTGTGAAACAGGCACCCAAACCTGGAGGAACTCAGCATCTCTGAGACTTTGCTGCCCGTGGCTCTCTCTACCCACACGCTGTCCTCTGAGGGGGAGCGGGTGGCTGCGGCACTGCATCCCTTGCAGAGACGCATCTGGCACGTTGCAGAGCTGCTGCAGGTGCTGAGATGATAGAAAATACTGAGGCAGACATACTTGTTCTGCCAGCTCAACCAGCTGCCACCACACTGGCTGCAGGGCATCGCAGCTCAGCAAGACCCTCGTAGCCACTGGCCTTGTGCTGCTCCAGCAGACAGAAGTTGCCCTCTTGCTGCTAAGGGCCATCTCCATCAGGTATAATCAATTCAGTGTGCAAGAGGTGGAGGGACAGAAGACCAGCCTGGATGTACGCCTTGACCCACCCTGCAAACAGTGGTAACTCTTGAAGTTTCAGTCCTAAACCTCCCTTGAACAAAACAGGGCAAGTTGTTGCTCTGCAGATTTCACAGAGAGGAACCAACCCCATTCTAGTTGTGGTCTTTAGTGGGCTTGAATTCAGATCATCAAGAGGAGTCTCCCAAAGAACAGCAGACGGCAGAAGGTAAGCGATGCAGACAGTGGTGTGTAATGGTTCTTGAGAGGGATGGGCAATCCCTGCAGTACAGCAGAGCTGCTCAGTGCGAGGGGACAAAAGTGGGTCTTCACATTAACCCAGAGGGCTTTAAGGAAGCAGGATTTCACCACACGAGGAGGAATATTTGAGGAAGAGAAACAGACTGTGCCCCAGCTGCCGCCGGCAGGAGAGCGCTGGTTGCAGCCAGCTGGCCCTGCTGAGCTGGTGGAACCAAGGCTGGTGCTGCCCTGTCAGGAACGTGGACACCCAGTGGTTATGGCATGGAGGATCCAGCACAGTGTGGGCTGGGAGGACGAGGCACCCATCACTGGCTCTCTGGACTTGTGCTCTTCCCTAGGGGTTTCCAAAGCTGCCTCCTGCACCTTGCAGCTGCGAGAGATTGGGAAGAGAACAAGGACGGTCAGGAATCCTGCTGGTCAATGGCAGATGGAGAGCACAGCTCTGAACTCTGGAGGACAGCTTAGCCATGAAGGAGGTGACTCACCAGTGAATGAAGCCGTATCAGCAACAGGAAGGTGTGGATCCAGGTTCAGTGTAGACAGTCCTAGCACCTTATCTACATTTGCCTAAAAGCAGCCAGCACCAGGTTTGCAAAACAGGAGCTGAACGTGCTCAGATACCACTTAGTCAAAGTCTGGGTCCAGTTCCACTGAGCAGCTGGTTGTGTGATTTGAAAACAGAATCAGAAGCAGCCGAAGACACCACAGTAGGGCCAAGGAGTCAAGCCCCAACCTCCCAGCTGCTCGTGCAGCAGAGTGGTGCTTGGGAGAGTGACAGCAAGGCAGGGCTGGAAACACTCAACAGCAGGCTTTGAAACCCTAGAAAAGCTGTAAGCTTGCTGCCAGAAGCAGTCTTGTGCCATCAGCTGGTTACCAGACATCTCCCAAGGAAGCGGGTATCCGTGTCAAATTTACAGAAAAGGGTGTGCACAGCAAACCCAGAGGAGGTGGTGTCACTAGAAGCATCATGATCCTCTCACACCACAGTGCTTGGGCAAGACACAGGAGAGCCTTTTTTTTCCAGGAGCTAAGGTCCCCCCGGCCTCATTAGGAACTACCAGCGCTGTGAGACATCACCCATAACTTTCCCACCATTGAGCCCTCCAGGCATGATAAAGAGCTCCCACCACCTGATGCAATCAAACACACCACTGTCCTTTGTCAGCTTTAAGTTCAAAGCAGCTGTCAGGTTCCAAACCAGTGACCAGCATCACTCTGCTCCTCAAGATCCCTCGGTTCAGTTTTCCTGCTACTGAGCACCTTTGTTACTAAGTTTAAGGTCTTTAAGGGTGCTGTAAAATTGTAATTTATGGCATTTAACGCCAAGCTCACGTTTGGAAATCAAGAGAAGAAAGCCTATTCAAACCCCTTTTTCCTACTCCCATCTCTTTTAAGAAGGAAGTACTCAGCCTGGTAATGGTTACCGAGTTCTGGGACTTCAGACCTACAAGAATGGGTTATTTGTAATGGAGACAGAAAGAGTCGCCAGGCAAAGGGGAACATCTAGTGGCCACAGGCTCCCTTTGCAGCAAACCTTCCCCAGGGCAGGGATCTGGCGTGAAAATTAACCTGGAATTGCTCCTGCAGGCTCAGCAACCCCCCTTCTCCCCACGGCTCTGCCCTGGGGAACACCCCTCTGAAGCAGCGCAGAGACCCCGGGGTGTGCAGGAGGTGTAGGATCTCGGGGTGTGCAGAAGGTGTAGGATCTCGGGGTTTGCTCCCCCCGGCCCCCCTCCTGCCCACCAGGGAGTTTCACTCAAACCCCAAGAATTTAGTGGAATTTCACTGGAAACTCAAAACCCAGCTTTTTTTAACTTAATTGGTCATTGCTTGGGGGGAATTTCCAAAGGCATTCTGTGCAGAGGATCCTGATATCCTCCATCTACACCAACAAGTTCCTGTAGTTCCCACAAGTCTTACACTCAACGACAGAATGATTTGGGTTGGAAGAGACCTTTAAAGATCATCTAGTCCAACCCCCTGCCATAAGCAGGGAGATTTTCAACTAGATCAGGTTGCCTAAAGCTCTGTCCAACCTGACCTTGAAAATATACAATGAGGGGGCATCCACGGCTTTTAATCACGGCAGCAAGTGCCTGTGCTGTTATCAGGGACAAGGGCAGGAGCAGACCAGGTTAAAGCCAAGCCATCACGAGGAACAAAACTCCCAGTTGAAGAGAAGCAGTTCCTGATGGTGCTGCTGGTCCCCTCCGTGCTGGTGTGAGGACAGCGCAGTCCCCGGTGAGAGCATGGCTGCAGCTGGGCACGACCAGTACACACCGGGCACCGCTGATCTGATCCACAAGTGACAGTGGCCAGAAGATACCTCTAAGCCCCATTTTAAACCCAGGTGGGGCTGGGGCAACACGCTCTCTGGCCCCACCAAAGGGAAGATGGCTCATTTCAGAATTTGCCAATCTAAGGTTTTTTACTCAGTTTGGCACCTGATCTCAGTGGAAGCCTTGTGAGATCTCCTGAACATGGCAGGGACTGTGTAACTGCTTCACTGTAGGGAAGGGTTGCTGTGAGAGAACACACACTCCAGGGCTCATTTCTCAGTTCCAGCATGTCATCTGCTGGAATAATTACAGGAAGGAAAATAACTAAACGGAGGACAAAGTCAGTTGCCTTCACAGTCAAACACCTTTTAATACAATCCAAGACTCTGCACAGTGACAAAAATACCATCAATGTAGGGGAGCGATGCCAACAGTAGGGTAGGAAAACCAATTTAGCAGCACACCACCAGTCATCTGAAGACAAGCATCACCCCAAATAATACACACGCTCATCTCAACTAGTCCAAAAGGCAGGACAGACAGCTGACAGCAGGGCAGCACAGAGCTCCCAGCCGGGTGCCCACGCTGCCCAGTCAACCACCGGGCTGAGCTCCTCCAGTGCCACGGCTGCCACAGAGCTCCAGGTGCCCACCGGCGGCCGCTCAGGGTCTCTGTGGGCAGAGATCACTCCCCATCCAAACCCAGGAGGGATTTCCAAGACAGAGCAAACAATTTCAACGCACACACACAAATAGCAGTTGAGGTGCTACCCCTCCATGGCTCCACACAGATCTCTATTGGCATAGAGTTTAACCCTTTACAGAACAGTACTACTCGCCCCTCCAATCTGTCTTCAACTGAAGCTGAAATCTCAGCACAGAGGAAATGGGAGTTTTTCCCTTCCCTTTGTTAATTGGTCTCTATGAATAGGAGACCAATTAACATGCTTGATCCGAAAAGGGAGTGTGTCAAAGTGCATGATCTTTAGATGTGTGGTGACAAAGTCTGACCAGCCCACCCGATGGCTGGGAACAGCTTGAATGTCATTTACAATAAATTCAAGTTTCTGATGTTCAGAGTTTCCAGTCTTTTCTGCCTTGAAGAGAATATCCCAAAGCAAAAATGGCTTCTCAGGAAAGCAAATACACTCTTGCAGAACTGTGGTAGCTGATGCCCAGCCTTCAGCTCCACAGCTCCAGGCCTCTTGCTGTCACTGCGGCCAGTGGGATGGCAAACAAGGACCACAAACTACATCAACGGCTGTTTGGTTACAATGTGACCACAGCACTTCACAGCCAGGGCACTGCAGATGAGTCAAACCTTCTGATGAGTTGCCCATTGTAGTCATTGTCTCAAAACCCACCCTGTGGTCTCCATCTCAAGTGTTTTACATGTAACAAACTGTTGGCTTAATCAACTGAACTTTGATATACACTTGGTCAGCAACAACCATTAACTACACAGACAAAAAATGCCTCTTTGCTACTGGAAAGAAATTCAAGACACAATGCAATTCTGCCAAGGTGTCTCACAACCATAACGAGAACTACACATGAGGATCTGCACATGGAAAGGAGCATTCATATTTACTGGGTTGTATGAAGATGACACAGCACTGTACAATTCCTCTGGCTAGATTATTGCAGCGTCTTTCTTATTCAGGCTACTCAAATTTAACACACACAGACACACACACACACCCCCCCGGCCGGGCAGGACGTCGGCAGCGCAGCGGGGCAGTGCTGTACCAGACTGAAACCATCACTGATGTGTGCCTCCAGAGCGATACGAACAGTCAGCAGGGGTATCACCTCTTAACCCTGTTACCACTGCTGTGATTTGCAAACTCATGCAGGCCATGGCTCAAATTGCTCAGAAAAGCTACCAAAACGGTTTTTTTTGTGGATCTTCACTGCTGGGGGGGGGCAGAAGTTGTACTCGCCAGACCCAAGGGAAGCTGAGCTGAGGCCTGTGATTGACTTTTGAAAGACGTTGGAAACTCAGATGCCTAAACCACACTGATGCTGCTCCTTGGAGTCTCACATAAATTTCCTATGACGAATTTCTGAGCAACTAGCAGTTATTTCTGACTTCAAACACCCCAATCCCTGCGCGCTAAGAGTAGAGCAGGGAAAGGAACAGCTTTTCTCAGATATGGCTTAGGACGCAGTGTAGCGCTGGGGTTTCGCTGACACAGCTGCATCTACAGGGATGGGGAGAAAAATCACATCACCGCTGCCAGCTGCAGGAAAGATTTTGCAGATAAAAACCATTCATTTTGAGTGTAATACTAAAGTCCCACAAATCCTGCCAACACACAGCTCGAGGAAATTTCTGACAAATTAACAAGCTGAAAATTAATGCTACTGTGTTTTGGTTTGCCTTTTTTTTTTTTCTTTCCCAAGGACACCTCAAACAAATTCAAGAAAAGAGACAGGGACAAAAATGAAATCCCACTTAAGAGAACCTACTAAATGGGATACATTTTTGGAGTTATTTGTTTTGCGTGAGGACGCTTGTGGGATACCAGCAAGTGCAAAGTGATTGAGCTAGCTTTGAAAAAATAATTAAAGGCAGTATCAGCTGGTATTTGTAAAAAGTCAGCTACAACTGTTCAAGTTCTTTCCCACCAAATTACATAAATGTAACTGAATTATATCTGCCCTTCTAGTTCAATTGAGCTTACGGTAAACGCACGAAAAGGAGATGGACAGAACTCACTGGAGTGGGATGTGGGAAAGAGAGGCCCAGGGCCGACTCTCAAACAGGGTGAAATAATTGAACTGCAAAAATAAATGGTGCAAAAGACATCTTGAACTGTATATGCAGTCTAATGTTTCAAAGAGTTATTCTGACAAAAGTGATAAATGGCACCTTAAGAAAAAAATCACATTTTTTCCAAGTTTCTTTATATACTTTGCTAGAGGCAACACTTTAGCCAGACCCACAGTATTTTCACTGATGGCAAGCTAAACAAACCAACATTGCCAGCAAGACTGTGACCTCTGAATTATTAACATGGCCCTCTCCAGCCTAGCTGAGATTTTATCACTATAAATTTTTAATTTTTCCTTTTAATAAACTTCAAGTTTAAGTAACACTTTCCCACCCTAAAGCATTTTTTTAAGATTGAACTGCTGAAAAAACCAGCAATTCCCTCTTTCCCCTCATTTTACTTGTGGTAGATCTTCTTACTAGCAAATTATCCAGTGAAGCTTTGAGAGCAGCCTGTCGTATGCTCGGGACTACCCACTGATGTTTACATACTTGTGCTTCACAAGGGAGAAGCTCTACACCAGATATGACAAGTTTTAGATAAAGACACTGGGTAACTGTCTCTGGCCATCGTGTGCCACAAGACGTGCTTGTGTGTATTTCTCAGGAATGAGCAAAAGCTGTTTTGCATCAGCCCAACCCTACCAGACACTGCTGGCCAAAAAATGTGACCTTTTTCAGGATCTCATCCCTGGGAAGACTCATGATATGGAGGAACAGCATCACCCAGAGCTCTCCTGGGAAACTCGTCCCCTCCCACATTAATTACTACTCAGCAGATTTCCCTCCCACTTCCCTTCATTTTCTTGTGGGGAGACCATTAGCTTCTGTATCACCATGTCTAACTCCCCAAACATGTAGAAATATCAGCACAGTTATTCTCAGATTTAAAGCTTCATTTCAGCTTCCCGGAAAGACAAAGGAAAGGAAGTTTCTGAGCACTGCATGTACGCTCTGGCTTTCAGCTGTCTGAAACACGAGTCAGTTTGAAGTCATTATACTGATATGGAATAGGAATGTAAACAAAATCAAGCCTTTGAGATCTCATTGTCCAGTCTGATGCCTTCCTCAGAGGCAGACTCCTCAAACGGATGTGACTGGAATGTGCCAAGGGTTCAGGTACAAGGAGAAGGATAATCAGCCATCACAGCTCTTGTGGGAACCGAGGGCTTTTATAACTTAAGGAATGGTACTGATTTGTCTGCACAATGTCTGCTTACAGTAGGGCAACGATTTTATGAACTACTTTTCTATGTCAGATCTGAGGTCATTAAAGTTCCCTGTGAGCTGACATTTGATATTTCTGGCTCAAGGCTGACCTTGGTGCCAGTGGCACAGAGCTCTGCTGAACACCTCAGCCAGCTCTGCCTCCAAGGGACTGCAGAAAACTGCAAACCCAATCTGTGATATGGACTTGTATCCATTTAGGATGGTTTGAAATCATTGCACTTTGATTTTTATCTAATAACAGAACCTGAATCCAGATCTCTAAAGGTAAAGGGCTGAGTTAATCAGATACATTACTTCACCTTGATTTGTCTTAAATAAAATAACGGTAAACAACTAAGCCCTGCATTCGAGTGCATCGCTTCGTAATGACTGAAAAACACTGAGCCCAGCAGAAATTATGTTCTGACTTGGTTCCTGCATTAGAATTTGCCTTGGGAATTCTAAGACAACTGAAAAGGTTCTTGATTAATGATAGTCACATCAACCATTCATGGTGTCCCTGAAGCCCCACACCTCCAAGACAGAGATCTGGAAGTTTTCAGAGCACAAGGGCTGGTTATTGAAAGTATTGCAGTGGCTGGTTCTTCCATGGTTCAGGTCTGCATCGAGGTAGAGAGCTTGGCCATCACCCCCTCCTATGAGGAGACAAAGACAAGTGTAAGGGTATCTCTGCATTTCAAAATAGGGAAACTGCTGTACAACAAAAAACAAACAAACAAACAAACATACATAAAAAAAAAAAGGACTTAGGTGCTTTTCTCATGGGAACAACTGGAAGCCCTAAGTGATGTTTGCTTGCCATCTTCAGGTGTAACAGTATGATCAAATGCATAGCTATCAGAACAGGATGATTATTTTTTTAATTTAAAAAGAAATAATGCAAGTCAGTAAGAACAAGAAGTCCAACTCAAATGCCTGCATTTAATTTGCTTTTCAGTGCTGGAGGCAACTGCATATTTTCTCTCCAGTAAAGAAAAACCAAAGAAATTTGCGAGCAAATCGGTAAGCAGTCAAAAATCAAAGCTAGGACAAGAACAAGTTCCTCTTCAAGAACTATTTTTCACCATGAATTAGGTGGTAGAAAGGTATGGCTGTGCTTAAAGCTAATTACTACTATCTAACTCTAAAAATGCTTGACATGCAAGGTTTCCCATAGAAAATGTTTGCTGGGTAATGATATCAGGTTTTGGCCATTTTTATCTGAAAATACAGAAATGGTAACTATAGATGGCCCTCTTGTCTAAGGTGGACAGGACAAGCTGGTAGGACATATGGATAGAGTGTGAAGAGATGTTGCTAAAGAATAGCCAAGAGGAAGTGGAAAGCTTATGTGCAGGAATTAGAGACCGAGGCAGCAAGGAGAACTTTGTGGTTGGTGTCTGCTACAGGCCGCCTGATCAAGGGGAGCCTACTGATGAAGCCTTCTTACTCCAGCTACAGGAGGCATCAAGCTCAAAGGCTCTCGTCCTGCTGGGGGATTTCAACTACCTCGACATCTACTGGAAAAGCAACATAGTGAGCTGTAGACAATCCAGGGGGTTCCTGGAGTGCCTCGATGATAACTTTCTAAGGCAGGAAACAGACAGCTCTACCTGAGGGGATGTGACACTGGACCTGATAGTCACCAATGCAAGAGAGCTCATCAGGAATGTCAAGACTTGGAGGCAGCCTGGGCTGCAGCGATCATGTCCTGGTGGAGTTCACAGTCCTAAGAGCTATGTGTCAGACAAGGAGCATAGTCAGGATCCTGAATTTTAGGAAAGCAAACCTCCAGCTCTTCAAGGATTTGGTCAAAAGGACCCCCTGGAAAACGGCCCTCAGGGACAACAGGGCAGAACTAAAAAACTAAAAGGCAAGGAGGAACTGCATGGGCAGTTCAAGCAGGATCAGGCACCCTGGGAGGAGCACAGGGACAGTGCCCAGTAGGGGCAGGCCAAGGGTCAGGAAGGCCAAGGGGCAGTTGGAGCTAAACCTGGCAACGGATGCTAAGAACAAGAAGGGCTTCTATGGGTATCTCAGCCAGAAAAGGAAGGTTAAAGAAAGTGTACGCCCTATGATGAGCAAGAATGGCAAACTGGTAACAGATGAGAAGGTTGAGGTTCTCAACTTTTTTGCCTCAGTCTTCACTGCCAACCCCTCTCCTCACACCTCCCAAGTTGAAGAAGCAGGCAAAAATAGGGGCTACGAGAGTGAAGAATCAACCACTGTAGGAGAAGACCAGGTTCAAGAGCTTCTAAGGAGCCTAAAGGTACAAAAGTCCATGGGACCTGATGAAATGCATCCACAGGTCCTGTGGGAGCTGGTGGATGAAGTTGCCAAGCCACTTTCCATTATATTTGAGAAGTCATGGCAGTCTGGTGAAGTTCCTGCTGACTGGAAAAGGGGAAACTTAACCTGCATTTTCAAAAAGGGAAAATGGAAGACCTGGGGAACTACAGGCTGGTCAGTCTCATCTCTGTGCCTGGTAAGATCATGGAGCAGATCCTCCTGGAATCTCTGCTAAGGCACATGGAAAACAACAAGGCGATTGGTGACAACTAACATGGCTTCACCAAGGGCAGGTCATGCCTGACAAATGTGGAGGCCTTCTACGATGGGGCTACAGTATTAGTAGATAAGGGGAGAGCAATGGATGTCATCTACCTGGACTTCTGCAAAGCATTGGACACTGTTCCACACAACATCCTGGTCTCTAAACTGGAGAGACACAGATTTGATGGATGGACCACTCCTTGGATCAGGAACTGCCTGGACGGCTGCACTCAAAGGGTTGTGGTCAATGGCTCAATGTCCAAGTGGAAGCCAGTGACGAGTGGTGTTCCTCAAGGGTCAGTACTGAACTGGTGCTGTTTAACATCTTTGTCAAGGACATGGATAGTGGGATTGAGTGCACCCTCAGCAAGTTTGCTGATGACACTGAACTCTGTGGCACGGTCGACACGCTGGAGGGAAGGGATGCCATCCAGAGGGTCCTGGAGAGGCTTGAGAGGTGGGCCTGTGTGAACCTCACAAAGTTCAACCAAGTCAAGTGCAAGGTCCTGTACCTGGGCCACGGCAATCCCAGGCACAAATACAAGTTGGGTGGAGAATGGATTGAGAGCAGCCCTGAGGAGGAGGACTTGGGGGTGCTGGTGGACGACAAACTCAACACTCACCAGCAATGTGTGCTGGCAGCCTAGAAAGCCAACTGCATTCTGGGCTGCATCAAAAGTGTGGCCAGCAGGGTGAGGGAGGGGGATTCTACCCCTCTGCTCCAATTTGGTGAGACCCCACCTGGAGTACTGCCTCCAGTTCTGGAGTCCTCAGCACAGGAAGGACATGGACCTGTTGGAAGAGGCCCAGTGGAGGACCACAGAGATGCTACGAGGGCTGGAGCACCTCTCCTATGAGGACAGGCTGAGAAAGTGAGGGTTGTTCAGCCTGGAGAAGAGAAGGCTCCAGGGAGACCGTATAGCAGCCTTCCAGCTACAGAGAGTTGGGGCAGAGAGGAACCATAGAGCAAGCGTAGGATGATGCACCTGGGGAGGAATAACCCCCTGCATCAGTACAGGTTGGGGGTGACCTGCTGGAGAGCAGCTCTGAGGAAAAAGACCTGGGAGTCCTGGTGGACAATGGGATGACCATAAGCCAGCAACGTGACCTTGTGGCCAAGGCCAATGGCATCCTGGGGTGCAATAGTAAGACTGTGACCAGCAGGTTGAGGGAGGACATCCTGCCCCTCTGCTCTGCCCTGGTGAGGTCCCATCTGGAGTAATGCATCCAGTTCTGGGCTCCCCAGTTCAAGAAGGACAGGGAACTGCTGCAGAGGGGACAGCAGAGGGCTATAAAGATGATGAGGGGACTTGAACATCTCTCTGATGAGGAAAGGCTGAGGGACTTGGATCTGTTTAGTCTGGAGAAGAGAAGACTGAGGGGGGATCGGATCAACACCTATAAATACTTAAAGGGTGGGTGTCAAGAGGAAGGGGCCGGTCTTTTTTCAGTGGTGCCCAGTGACAGGACAAGAGGAAATGGGCACAAACTTGAACATAAGAAGTTCCATCTCAACATGAGGAGGAACTTCATGAGGGTGGCAGAGCCCCGGAACAGGCTGCCCAGAGAAGTGGTAGAGTTTTCATCTCTGGAGATGTTCAAAACCCACCTGGACACGTTCCTGTGCAACCTGCTCTGGGTGGACCTGCTTTGGCAGGGGGTTAGACTAGATGATCTCCAGAGATCCCTTCCAACCCCATATCATTCTGTGACTCTGTGATACAAGAGAGATGGGGAGGGACTCTTGGTCAGGGAGGGGAACAGTTTTACACTGAAAGAGGGGATACTGAGATGAGATCTGGGGAAGAAATTCTTTCCTGTGAGGGTGGTGAGAGCCTGGAACAGGTTACCCAGAGAAGCTGTGGCTGCCCCATCCCTGGAGGGGTTCAAGGCCAGGTTGGAGGGGGCTTTGAACAACCTGGTCTGGTGGGAGGTGTCCCTGCCCAGGGCAGGGGGGTTGGAACTGGATGATCTTTAAGGTCCCTTCCAACCCAAAGCATTCTATGATATGCACAAATTCTCACCCTGACTTACCTATAATGATGCATTCGCTGCTGCCAGCCATGAACATGGAGGCTGTTTTGGAAGGCAAGTTGAAGTGCCGAGCTGATAAGAAGGGAGAGAGGCGATCTGAAGGGTCTGGTGGGACACTGCCAGAGGAGAGAGTGCTGGAAGCTGACGGGGCGTGATTTTCTGGCTCTGAACCAGTTGTGGCCAGCTCTGGGTGTTTTATGATCACCCACTCGTAGCGTTCCACTTCTGGCTGCAACTGCAGAGAGGCAGAGAAGAGCAAAGCTGTAGTTAGTGCATGTGTACCACGCAGAGAGCTCTGCGCGCAAAGGACACTCAGGCCCCTCTCAGAACTTTGACACAATTAGTGATGAAGATTGGATCAAACTATCTTTTATGCCAGATGTTACATTCTTTCTTTATAACATTGTATTTTAGGTGATTGAAGAAACGATACAGCATTTTCTGAGTTACCTTACCACATATTTTAAGAAAACATTCTGGGCAAAACTAAAATTTTCTTCTCCACAAGTTCAGTAGGCTTTATAAACAAGAAAGGTATATAATCCAGCCTCGTCAAGTGAAAGGGAAGCAAGAGTTACTCATACCAGTACAGCAGTTCTGCCTTGCTACCAGGTACCGACAAAAAAATTTTACTCACCCTAAATACAAAGCACTCCCCGGTTCCAAAGAAACTCAGCTTGTTCCCCCCTCGCCTGCGCTCGCTCCAGTCCGTTGACAGATAAGCACCACAGACCTGGGACAGACAGCACCGTCAGGGGCTTCTCATTGAGGAAGGAAGGGCATTAAACCAACTGATACCAGCATTTCAGAGTCTAGAACTGAAGGTTTTATTTCAGTTTGATTTTCAAAATCTCTGTATCAGTGGATTAAGGCAGCACAAGTACTTATATCTAAAGATAGATTTAAACTGCTTTAATCCTTAACCCTTACAGCCTAAGAGTTTCATAAATTATTTCACATCTCTGTGGCCTTATGTTCCAATATAACCTCAGGTACCAAAACACTAATTACTCCAAACTTGTAAAGCCTGACTTTCACTTCCTCATTTTGACATGTCACAAGCTGACAGCCCTGCCTGAACATTTTCTGGTCAAAACCAGTAGCCTTGGTGCCTTTCTCCATTTCAAACTGTAGGGTAAAATCAGTTCAGCTAAGGCAACGCTGAACTAGCTCAGATATTTAATGCAGGCTACTCAAACAGCAAGGGGCCCACTAGTTTCCAGCAAAGACAAACATGGCCTTAGAGCGCTGAGCTCTTCTGTGGAGTCTTCTGTTTACACTAGAAGAATTTCTTGCTACCAGCAATAAGCATTGCTGCCAAGTGGACACAGACCAACAATGAAGCTCGAAGAATGGGATAAAACCAACTCTGCTATTTTTATTTTTTTTTTTTCCCCAGAAACTATGGTTAAACAGAACTGTCCTAAGGTACATTTGCTCTTTAGCCTCCACCAGCATTACAAGCAGAGCTCCTAGGACAAAATTACTGAGGAGTCGGCTTTCTATACAGATAAAACACAATATATATAGATTTATATAAGCAAAAAGGTGGCCCAGAAGTCTGATTGATCTGATATGCCTGAAGTGCATGACAGCCAGAAAATCAGAAGGCAAATTTTCTTCTTTCAAAAATGTAACAATAGACATATGAATAAAGGGTGAACATAATCCTTTGGAAAAAAAACACCACAAAGCAACTCCAAAACCACCAAACAAACAAACAAAAAAACCCCATACTTTTCTCCTACTTTTTTGTTTGTACTATTTTTGTTTTTGAGGGGTAGGCAATGAACCATACTGTAAAAATCAGCATCACTTACAAAGCTAGACTTCTGACATACTCCAGAACAAGAAGCAAAATAATACATATTTTCCCTCTTCCTTTTAGATGCCATGAGCATTCTATAAGGCAATGGCATATCAATGCAGGCCTGGGGCAGCCAGAAACCACACAGAGAACTATGAAACAGCCTGGGGCATTAGCATTAGGTAGATACAAATAAAGAGTAGAAAAGGGCTTGTTTCATGGGCTGTCATCTGGCAGGAACATAAGCAGAAATATAAGCCCACAGGAAGCAATAAGAGCTTAATGCTATACACAGAATATTCAGGAGTCGTGCACAGTGGCACAGAGAACCAGCGCTCATTACAGGAACTACCTGTGTGCCCTCCTGTGGAGATTCTGGGAAGCTTTCTTGTTTTATGCATTTTTTTAAACAAGCATGAGATGAAGCTTATGTTTCTGTGTTCAGAATATGTTGTCCAATACTGTCATACACAGTAGAGCAGACGAATCAATACTCATTAGACAAGGCACCTGTGTGCACTCCTCACGTTCTCAGAGCTTTGCTGTTCGTTTTTTTTTTTTTTTTCAAACAAGAATGAAATGAACCTAAAGCTTTTCTTTCCATATTATACAGTCCAATATTATTTGCACCATTTAAATTCTGCTACGTTCTCTCCTCCTATCCCAGAGAAAACGAAAATATCTTCTATGAATCATGAGTTTCTTAACACAATTCCCCAGCTTCTCCCTCTGATTCTGCAATTAAGACAGTCCGTTGAAGAGCTCAACGAGCTCCTCCAGTCCATCACCCCACATTACTTACAAGAGAAAGAATAGCTGAGCAAGACCTAGTTTATAAGATTTACCCAAGAACGCATAGTCCCATAATTGACAAATGGAATCATTTAAAGCATGCATTGTTAAAAAAACCAAAACCCCAAGCAATTTCAGGTCCCTTGTTCTTCATTTTATTATAAACAGTTGTGTGGTGCAATACAGCATTGCATAACTGTCTAAAATCTAACTTCATCAGTTGCTTTTCACCTCACTCACCTCTTTTGCTGTGGTCTTGATGAGGAGAAGAGTTGGTTCGTGTCCCTCACTGTGAGAATAGAACCTGAAGTGCAGAGTACACAAAAATGAGGACTCAACTACCACCAACCGCAGGTCTTTTCCTCCTTAATGTCAAGCACCATCTCCTCCTCCAGCTGATGGCATGGCAAAAGAGACATCTGAAGACTAAGCATATTGCTGCAAACACTTTTTACAGTCCCTTGTAAATAACAGGGTTAAGTGCAAACAAGTATTACCCAGCAGTTCTTTTCTACACAGCTCTGGGTACAGCTGCTTATGCCTATCACAACAGTGGCATTTTAAGGCATTTTGAATTAAGGCAACGCAAAGGAAGTTGTGTCCTGAGGACTGGTGGCTGTATCTGAAGAGCTTTCTGTTTTCCTAGAAAGTAATTACAATGCATTCTTGGTGCTTGCTTTTGCTTTTCCTCATGGGCCCGTGAGGCTCGTACAGCAGACCCCTCACCACCTCAGTCCCTCAACTGCAGATGTCAAAGCCAGTATTAGGAGCTACAGGATTATAGTCTTCTGTGTCAAGTGCAAGGAGAACTCCTATTTAGTTTATCCCACTTTAAAAACAACAACAATCAGATTCATAGGCAGAAGAATCTCCAGTTTCCAGTTCCCTCATTATTTGGATTGGTTTGAATGCAGTTATCTATCTATAAAAGCCTGCAGAGCAGCCACTGAGTTAAACCATTCATGCCCTGTGGGGAATGAACCAGTCTCAGACCAGCATATTCTGTGAAATGGTGCAAGTTTGACTTTTCCAGTTGGTCTTGGACAGTTTAAAATGGCTTTCCGTGTTCTGGCAGATGAAGCATCTGGTCAAACACTGCAGTCAATAGGAATCTGTCACATTTACATCCCATCACTGATAATATTCTTCAGACCAAGTTCTGACTAGACATGGTCTTTCTGTCAATCCAGCCAACAGCTCACCAGTTGCTCTTTTTTGCCCCACAGCAGAGAAGAGGGGGGAAGGTTTTTCTCACCTGCTCAGACTACAGCCGTGCTCCAAGGTGGTGAAAAGCAAGAGGGGCTGGCAAAGTGCAAATCGCTCTGGGATCCATGACCAGATATCTCGCATCTCTTTCACACTGACAATTTCAGACTTGAAGTTCTCAGCATGAACTGCCAAGTGCACATTCTGCCTGAGAAATACAATACAAAACATTAAGAAACAATAACTTAGGAACAAATTTCAGATTACTGGACAGAAACATGCAAAGACAGCTGAACACATAGGACCCCAGTAGATATGTTACTGTTCAAAACTCCAGCCCATGGGATTAGAAGGCCATGACTTAGTGATGGTGATAAACTACTACAGTTTAACATAATCCTCAGGAGGCCATATCCGGCCTCACTGAAATACCTGAAGCAATTCCCCTGTGTGGCAGCTGTGGCCTGCACTTTTACAGAGGACATAACAGTGATGACCACGATCTTAAACAGATTAAATTATGTTTCTGTTTGAGACAGCCTCACTGGCGCTAGTGTGGAAGCACAGAGACCCATACACCTAAAGAAACAGCCAGGATCTGAAAGGAACAGGTAGCACTTTTTCCCCCGCCCTGAGGTCCTGCCTGTATGATGGAATTAGAGAATTCCTAAAACCCTCAGAAATCTCAGACCAATCAGTATTACCACATTAAGCAATTTTAATCCAAGGAAAGTATTTGAAGCTTTTGAAAAGTTCTAACTCTTGGAAACATGTCATTACGCATGACTTCAACTTCATTAAGAACCAAAGAAGTTCCTAGGTTCACGGTTACAGACAGAGCCTGAAAACATGAAAGAAGACTAGACACAGTGGAGAGCAAACCCCCACACCCCCCAGAAGGGTCTGACACAATTACAAGACCTGATTTATGGCTTTTAAACACCTGAATGTAATAATAATAATAATAATAATCATCATCATCATCTTAACCACCCTTCATTTCTCAGATTAAGTTAGCACACAATGCTTTTAAACACCTGAATGTAATAATAATAACCATCATCTTAACCACCCTCCATTTCTCAGATTAAGTTAGCACACAACCTCAGAACCTGGGGATTAAACAAGTGTTATTACATCCGTGGCCAATGTTAAAGACTTTTAAAATGCAGGGGTGACAGCCAAGTATATGGTGGAAGTGACAGACAAACTTACACAAGACACTAAATTACTGGGTAGCCATAAATTAATTGAAGCTTCAGGTGGTTTGCTCTGCATGCAGGGGTTAAGCTGCAAGTATATGTTTTGGGTTTTTTTGACAAATATTTATTTCTTTCCTCTCAGTTTCATGGAACATTAAGAGGACCTCAATATTGCATATCTGCATGTAACTGAATAGCTTAGCTCGTGCCCAAAACCACACAAACTATACATTTTTTATTATTTTTCTTGCTTGTAGTACCAAGAAATTAGCAGTGTTTGCACTGCGCTCCAGAGCGGTGCTTGCTTGGAGACATTGGGAAATGCTTCCTGAAATTTATTGTAGCTGCCTTAGTGTCAGCATTTCTAATGAAGCAACTCCTTAGGACACTTTAAAAAAAAATAATAATTACTGCTTCCTCTAGCAAAATGAATCAAATCACTACATGCATTGCTCCCCTGCATTATTTAATTAGGAAGGAACTTATACGGACATCTCTTGAAGCAAGCTGCAACTACTAATGGGCTTTAAAACTCACAGTGCCACTGACTAGGGCATTATTTGTGCCTTTAAGCACAGCAGGCTGACACACAGAGAACTCAACTGAAGTCAAGGATGAGCCAAGACTTAAACCCACATCTCAGGAATCTTTAGGTCTCAGCCCTCCCAGCGCTGTCGGGCTGCAGCTAAAGGCTGCTGGTGCTGCAGAGCAGAGCCCAGGAACAAAGCCTTGGTTTCAGTTCATCAGAAATTAGATTGTTCTCACATTCAAGGAATTAAAAACAGTGAGGGCACTCAACTAGTCTATTACAGTGAATTTCTGGGGGAAAAGTAATGCTGATAAATAAGCTAAGAGTTAGTAGCAAATACTGAAACAGTTTTAAACTTGCCAAACCTCAAACAAGCAAGTCTCATAATTATTGGTGTGCTTGGTTTGTACATTTTTCAGACTTATGTGACCTGTTTGGGCAACTATACTTAAGTACTTGTTTCTAAAAGGCTCCTAACCTTCAGGTACCTTTTCTTTTGCCTCTGTTCCTTTTCCTAGCGATTATGAACTGCTGATTTAAGGACTTTCCTACCCAGACCCCACCTGAAGCCTGTTTCCAGTAGAATTCACAGTAACACAGCACTCCCAGTACCCTGTGTCTCCCTATGACTTTTCCGCAGGTAGAATATCACCTTTACAAACAGATCTTTCAGTTTACTAGAAAGCATTTACCATTGTATTGGTCACTTAAAACTACTCCAGGTGTGCCGCTCCTGCCCCTGGAATATTATGGTGAATCATTTTCTGTTTAATGTCTCCATTCAGTTAGTAAAACCTAGACTGTAGCTTGACTGAAAGATCTGAAATAAAACGAGCTGCTATTTCCCAGTTTTAAATCACAGCTGCAGGTGCTTAAGAAGGAAAGTGTTGAAAGCAGTGGCAATACACAGCCTGCACCAACCTCAGACCAAGCTCTGTGCTGCTTAACAAAAATACAAGTTTTTTGGAGGGGTTTCAGAAAAATGCAACTAGAGTTACAAGTTACTAACCCATTTTCATCCTCTCATTTTTCACATTATTTCTCCAATGATGCTGAAAATCACCTACTTCAGTTGGGTAGTTGCTTTTCAAAGTAGTAACTGAGTGAAAATGAACAGCACACAAGTTGGCTAAGAAAAAAAAAATATGTTTCAGTCTATACTGGTTGATGAAAATTAAGTTTAGCCTTCACCACATCAGAGATCCTTCAGGGTTGTCTGGTAAAAACCCAGCAGTTTGAGAGAACACTAAATTTGGACTGGCACTGCATTAAAGTACCACTAGAACTGAACAAATTTATTAAGATTTTACCCTGTATTATTGTTTTCCTCAGTTCTTCATGTTGGCTCATTGGGATTGTTGGGATAACTTTCTATTGATTGCTGATGTTGGAAAGACAAGTTCAATTTTTATTATGCCAAAGGAAATCAGAATTAGGGAAGCAGCACAATTTAAATGTTTAATAAAGAAGCTTATTTGCTATTCTTGTAGGAATATTGTTTTTACAGCTATATCATTAATACAATGTGCTCCAGAGACTTCAGAATTCCTGAAGATAAAGCCAATGTTGATGACCTGCAGTAGAGCTGTCACAGTGGGTATGCCCTGTATGTATTCTGAGACAACAAATACCACACTTCAAATACCACCCACTCACTGAATTACATCTTCCTGCTCTATTTTGTTTTGAGTCAAGTCTTATAAGGGTCTGCATTATCTTTAAAATCCATTATAATTTCAGTTAGGGCATAAATGTGTGGTAGAAATGATATGTTGTTTCTCAGTCATAAATGGAAATATAAGCTGAAAGTGGTCTATAAACCTGAAACCTAATCTGTGTTGATATCGGTGTCAGCAGACACTCTGCATCTACCCAAGTCCTCCCAATACCTAATTCTGTGCTTCCCAGCAGAAACCAAGTCTTGCTGCTCCTTTCAGAGCATTGTAACTACAGTAAAATAGTATATGGATGTTGAAGATTGCTTGGCCGAATGAACAGCCTGCTGATCTATTGGCGGTAAAATCCTCAACACACAGGATATGACATGAAACACACTTTGGTAAGTCTCTTGAGGTGTTCTTTCAGACATGAAAACATGAGGAAATTGATTCCATTTTGATTTTATAAATTAGTACCAATGTTAGTGTGCATTACTCACTGAAGTTAACTCAGGGCACCTGCAACAAGACCAGAAGATTCTCAAAGGCATTAATTTAAACCCAGACTCTTGTGGTACTTAACACTCACAGGGCAGTCTCTCTCCTTTCCAAGTTCTCTGCTTATCAGGTATCACAATCCACTGTGTTTTGTTCTTTAAGATTTGCTTTCCAGGACAAGATTTGATGCATGACTTCATTAACTGTTAATGCTACATGGCTGAGTAACTCTGACCTCCTTGACATCGGAAAACAGTCTTCTTGCCTCTAAAAAAACCCCGTCTGCTTAAAAATAAATATAATCTAGTATGAACAGAGACAAGTCACTTTTAAGAGCGTGCCAAGCGGGGTTCAGTCCAACATTTTTCCATTTAACTGTAGAAAGCTTGCAAAGAAGAAAAAAAGTTGAGTACGTCTCACACCTATTGCAACAGCATCCACCAGGTTAGGATGTGGGATGATCTCACAAAAATACCTTTCTTCCAACGTAGAAAGGACTTCTGTCCCACCATTAACACTATGCTTTTCCATTCTGGAAAGCACAACCTTGTGTGGCTGTATTGAAGTGCTATGTGGACGAGGTGGGCCCACGTTCCCTTGTCCTCCAGGTTTGCAGGTGCTTTGAACTAACTTTGTGAGAGCATATTCAGGAGATGTTACACAGTGTCAGGAGATGTTACACAGTGTCAGGAGATGCTCTAATCGCTGTCCTGCTTCTGCCCCAGCATTAGTTATAACAGCAGCCCCAGAAAAAATCACCAGCCAAAGACAGAAGAAATGAGCAAAGTACAAAGAGTCAAGTGTTTTAACCTACCTTTTGGGAGACGCAACACTGCAAACAGGAGGGTGCAGTATGGAATTGACAGAAGGAGAATGTATAAGGAGAAACACAAAAAAAGATAGAAAAGATCAGTGATTTCCTACATCCATGACAAAGTGAATGAAAGGAGCCTGGAGAGAAACAAAGCAAGGTTTGATTCAAATCACCAAGCACAAGAAAAACAATCAAACACAGAGGTTAAAATATTTCCTATTTCCGTTTTTTTTCCTTTTTTGCTACCTGTTTGTAGTTACCCGATTGGAAGGATGATTCTTCATCTCCTTGCACACGTCAAACACATCTGGAGAAGGGAACTCACTCACATCCTGTTGAGGACTGGAGAAAAGCTCATTTCTCCAGCACCCACATCTTGCCCACACCGGGATCCAAACCAAACCCAGTTCACAGCAGCATCGGGCCAGGGGACACCAAGAAGATTCAGCGTGTTTACAAAAGTAGCTGAGAGAGCATAAAAGTTGCCTGGTAAGGCAGTAACTGCTGGCATTATTGGGGTACAAGTTTACTGTATTTTGCTTTGAAGGCACCGCCGCTGTTCGGAGCAATAATACCTCGACAGCATTTATCACAGCAGGAGCTTCTGGGGGTTTTGTATTTTTTGTTTGTTTGGGTTTGGTTTCTTTTTAGATTATTTTTCATTTAAAGCACTCATTCTATTGCTGAAGAATATATTCAGAAAGGATATTACAACTCTTCTGAACTCCAGTACAGGAAGAAAAGCAACACGCTAGAAGAGTTAATACTTGTAGTTATGAGTCCCAAACACAATGGCCTAAACTCTACCCGATGTGACATTCTGGTGGCTAAAGGCCTTGACGTGTTTGAGACTGACAAAGTGGTCTCTTCCAAGATATGAGCAAGATAAAGCACAAGCTCGCTATAAACCAAACTGTGAGTCTAAAAATAAACCACTGGAAAAGACTGGAGGGAACTTCATGTGTATTTGGTCACAGGAAAGAGGGTCAGCTAACATTTACATTATCTGATGGGCTGAAATCTGTAAGTGGATATTTCAATACTACAGAATATTTGTTTGCAACTGCTGTGACTAACTCAGCAACACAACCAGCTGCAAGATCCTAATACATCGGTGGCTGGTACCTTGTGATTTTTAAAGATTTAGAGAAAATGAGAGACTACCCCTCTAGAATACCAATTTCTAGATATCACACTTACTGACCCCTTCAGAGGTCACAAGAGTCGATAGAACTGTTTAATGCTTAAACTTAGATTAGAAAAAAAGTTGGGAGACGTTTTCTGCAGTCAAAAAGGCCTTAGGAGAAATAGAACATGTCTCCAACACCAGAATTTACCTGTCCCTACATTTGCACTTAGCAGGATACTAATTTTGTTTAGATCTATTGCTGCCTTTTTTCCATACATGGAGGGGTCTTTCAGTGTTTTATTATTGTGGCTTTTACTCCCACATTGGAGCAGGATTTCATTTACTAGTTTCACAGCTGGCTTTTCCTCTCCTCATTTCTGAAAAGAAATTGTGATTATGCCATCATCATTTGCAGCAGCATCCTCACTGTTCTCTTCCATGGTTCTTTCAAAATAATTGTTTGTAATAGTAGATGGATCTGTCACTAAATAGAATCACAGAATGAATCACAGAATCACAAAATGAAATGGGGTTAGAAAGGACCTCTGGAGATCATCTAGTCTAACCCCCTACCCAGAGCAGGTTGTACAGGAACGTGTCCAGGTGGGTTTTGAACAACTCCAGAGATGAAAACTCCACCACTTCTCTGGGCAGCCTCTTCTGGGGCTCTGCCACCCTCATGAAGTTCCTCCTCATGTTGAGATGGAACTTCTTATGTTCAAGTTTGTGCCCATTTCCTCTTGTCCTGTCACTGGGCACCACTGAAAAAAGACCGGCCCCTTCCTCTTGACACCCACCCTTTAAGTATTTATAGGTGTTGATCAGATCCCCCCTCAGTCTTCTCTTCTCCAGACTAAACAGACCCAAGTCCTTCAGCCCTTCCTCGTAAGAGAGATACTCCAGGCCCCTCATCATCTTTGTAGCCCTAAACAGGCCAACTCCTACCTATGATTATTGTACTCTGACTTTCAGGAGGCTTGCAGTCACACTAATTTTAAAAGTAACCTTAAGTAAGACTTATTTCTTCCTTGTTCTGTTAAAGTAACTCCCCAGTTAAGCAAGGTTAAGGTTTAGATTGAACATTAGGAAAGAATTTTTCACCGAAAGAGTGACAGGGCATTGGAACAGGCTGCCCAGGGAGGGGGTGGAGTCCCCATCCCTGGCTGTGTTTAAGGGCCGTTTAGATGCAGTGCTGAGGGACATGGTGTAGGGGAGGACTTTGTAGAGTAGGGGAGATGGTTGGACTCGATGATCCCAAGGGTCTCTTCCAACCTAGACCATTCTATGATTCTATGAAAACATTCCCTGTTGGGACAGAGTTTGCCTACTTACACTAAAGAAACTATTGTTTCTTTAGTGTAAGTAGCATGAAATGAAATTATATATATAATCTCACATTTAAGAATTAATTTTCGCATTTGTTTAGGTACTTTTCCTTCCAAGTAATTTATCAGTGTTTTTTCCAGCTTTGCTAAAACACATTTTAATTTAGAAACAGCTTGTGAAAGACACTTTTGAGATACAGTACTTGCAATGAATATGTACCCGTGAAAAGTAATTATAAATTCATCACTGAGTAAGCCATGAGAAACTGCTTTGTCTCTCTTGTATCATAACAGTTCAGTTACACTCCTCGTTACAACCCCAGCAATGCTTAATTTTGGGGATGTTGCCTTTTCCTACAGAGGAAAAAAAAAAAAAAAAAAAATCAGCAGAGCTACCAGCATGTACCAGTAGAGCTCTTCTCCTTCCCCAGCAGTCACCTGGACTGACCGACTGACCACTCACCCTCAGGCTGCCGGGAGCCAGAGCCCTACCTTTTCTGTTTGACCGTGATGCCCTTCTGCTGCAAAGCCTTCTCGTTGGCCATCTGCAGGAGCTGGATCTCCTTCCGTGAGAAGAGGCGGATCGCAAAGGCTTTTTCCAAAAGCCTCTCTGGTGACACCGACTTGGCGATGTCTCTCACAAAAGCCCGGATGTCCTGCTGTACGCTGTCCGACTCCATGGGCTGCCCAGCTCGGACTTTGTGAAAAAACTTCAGAAGAGCCAGTGCAACGCGATAGAGAACTTTGTAGCCCTCCACCAGAAACACATCAAAGACCCGAGCGATGTACACCATCGGCAGCTCTCCGAAGAGCCAGCGCTGCCAGTCGGAGTACACCTCCAACACGTCCTCCGACACGGCCACCATCAGCTTGTGTGCTGCCTGGCAGTACTTGTTCACTAGGTCGCCAAAGGTCATGCAGGAGGACTCAAAAGCTAAGAACGTCTGGTCAATGAGCCGCTTGGATGGGTCATTGCAAGCAAGGATGCGACAAACCTGCTCAAAGCACTCTGCCTCATCCTTGCTGTAGTGCAGGAGCAAAGCTATCACAGAAGGCAGTGCTGGGCAAAATGATATGTCTGGGAACTGGTTTGCAATGCACAGTATGATCTTCCTGACGGCCCCGATGCCTTCTGCGTTCAGGCAGTAGGTGGGGACCAGGCTGTTATCCACAAACTCTGGCAGGGGAAGGGAGCTGCTGTTACGTTTTCCAACGATCTTCACAACAATGTCCCGGTACACGTTTGCATCGGGGGTCACTGTGCGGCAGGGGATACTGCTAATTAGTTTGTGGTACACTTTGGCTCTCAGAGAGTGGTTCTTGGCCCAGTAGCCCTGCCGGGCCAGCTGCTTGAGCTCCTGGAACTCCGTGCAGGTCAGCTCCTTCGCATCCTGGCTCTGGGCAGTAACATCCATTTTGTCCCAATCCACAAAGCGGTTGTATTCATCCATGGCTCCAGGAGAAGCATATCAGATAAATCATGAGAATGAAGACCTTATTTGGTCATTAAATGACTTGCAGCTTTTCCTGAAAAAGTAAAATAAGAGAGGTTTGAGTAACAGGTAATCTCCCATTTTCTTTAGAACACATACATCCATTCAACTTGTTCCTGCAATACGAAAACTGTTTTCTAAAGCAAGCAAAGTTAAAGATACATGCCTTTTAATTTTTAAGACAAACTTTACTTCCATTTTGTCAGTAACTCATACTGAAGTAATTTATCAATGGCCAGCCAAGAGGCTGATCCTGAGGACACGTCCACAGGAAGTTAATGCTCGTAACTGGAGGACCAAGCTGAGGCACAGACCTTCACATTAACCTCTCACTTCAAGAACAGAAACCTCCCACTTCAAAAATATCCACTGCGAAGTCTGTTCAATTTGCCATCTCTCTTCCTAATTCTCTGGGGAAATAGCTGTTATTTATACTACAAGGATGCAGTCTCACAAGCAGCTTACGCTATTCTAAGACTGTGTGGTCAGTGACAAAGGATGCTGACCTCCTGCTAGCCACAGCCATTTGTTCTTAGTCATTTCTTTGTGCTGGTGCTAGCACTTGTGTGGCCACACAGTCCCTGGAATTCGTTTGTTAATCTGGTACCTTTTTTTCTTTTCCACTGGACTAGCAGATGTGCAGCTCTATGGCCAGTGCCAGAACAAAGGTGAGTGCAGACAGCACTGCCCCTTCTGACTGCAGCACAGGCTCGTGTCAGCTTCAAACAGCTTCATGGAACTGCTTCTTCATTCTCTGGAGCGCTGCCCTGGACTTGTGGTCCTGACACTTCTATGATCAAATCACCCTCTAGAGGGCCTGCTGTCACCAGCATTAGAAGATTTTAAAAATTCACACCACTGCAATAGCACCAGGAGCTGGAAGACCAGGTTCTGGCCTCCAGTTTCTCAAGTCACATGTTCACATGATCCACCAGTTGACTCCAGCTTTAAAGTACACCCGTGTCCCAGCAGACAGCATGACTGCAACCACTAATGCCCATCCCTGAATCAGCTTTACTCACATCAGTGCAAAACTAGAGAGGGAGATACAATAAAATGGACTAATAGGAGCAGGCAACAGGTTTGTGCAGTGCTGAAACATCTCTGCAACCTGCGCTCAGTGCCAGAGGAAAGCTGGGAAGCACACGGCCGTTGGTGCTGCACGCTCTGCCAAGGCAGATAAACCCTATAAAACACAACAGGCCTATAAAACTGTTTTGTACAATTAAGACATTATGTAGGAAGGTTAAATCAACAAAAACAGTTATTGAAATGCTTCCAAAGAGCCTTTAATCATTCCTGTGTCAACAGACTGGAGAACACATGAAACTTGACATTTATCAGCACTGTCTTTCGTACAACAGGTGCACTAAAATGATATGAAACTCCTCAGGTGAATACACCATCGAGACAGACACCTCATCCTCCCTTTTCCACTACGGGAAAGTAAAACAGACGTTTTGCCTTAAATAGACAGAAGCTGGTAAACATACAATTAGCAGTAGCTTGGACGGTCATACATTTAATTCAGAGAGTTTTAGATTCTGACTAAATATTAATCTGTGTATTTTGGAATCACATGCTTAAACTCCAAAATTTAACTCCTCTTTTAAGAGTTCAGCAGCAATGCACAGGAGTCTTTCAGAGAAGGCTTTTGGATGGCTTTTCTCTACCAAATAGTTACTTCAGGTGTCTTTGTTTTGTTTTGGTTTTTCTTTTTTTTAAATAAAAAGATTATTTTTTTTTATTCCTCTTTGTACAACGTAATAGCAATAGAGAAAGGCTCACCATTTATTTTTGTTGTCTTCCACATCTGAAATTAATTCTTAGACTGTAATTAAAAGTACACATTGTCCTGGCTTCAGTTCTGAAATCCAGTTATCTTACGACGTGCAGAAACAATGCCTCTCTGTGAGCTGAGTGTGTCTTTAGGATACACAGAGACAGTAACGGTGGGACACCAGTGCATCAGAGTCAACGTCTGCTTGTGGAAGTCAGCATTTTTCTGTCATGCTCCACCTGGGAATCACAGGGAAACTCATTATCTTTAATTAAAATCCTAGAATAAGAACCCTGTGGAGAAGAGAAATTGAATCCTATTTAGCCATGACCAAAGCACAGTGAAATGAACCATTCTGTTCATGGTGACTTCAATATAGAAACTATTACCGTCCTGTGCTTGCTGGAGTCTCCACTATGCAACAGCTTCCCCCTTCTCCAATCATCCCTTATATTAGGGAGGTTTAAGGAAAATGCCTATTTCTAAGATACACAATTTCTAAGATACTCGGAGTTCCATCTCTGCTGTCCTTTTTCCTGTAAACTTTCTTCTCCCTCCTCCTTACTCTTTCCTGTCTTATTTTCTATCGTTCAGAGACATAAGCGCATTTAAAGGTTGCATCAAACAGCCACCTTTCCCTCTGGAAGTTACTGCTTATTCCAGAAACCAACTAATTTGACGGGTATCTGCTTCTCAGCAGCTCACTGAAGTTCATGGCTGGAGGATGGAAATCAGACTGCCAGAACTTTTGATTTGATCTTAGAGTCTTCTACATACTTTGGCTGGAATAAATCTGCTGGGTCTGCCAGTAGGTCTGGCTGCTTATCCCTTTCAAAGCTCTACATGCTGCAAGAAAAAATGACAGCAAAGCAAATGGGCATCGTCAAGGCTGCCAGAGCATTACCAGCTCTTAACTGTACTTGCAAACCCAACAGCATTAGCGTTCTTCAGTGTAATGGTGTGTACCTCTTAACACTGTGCCAAGAGCTACTATAAGCCAGCAAGGCTCAAAAGGGGAGTATTTACTTGCCAAAGGAGAATAGCACAAGAAATCTCAGAAAATTCTAGCCAGCCTTCATCTTCTCCTCCTACTCCTTCCAAAACTTCCTCCATCCCTCCAGACAAGTTCCCTCTCTCCTGGCAGCCACACAAAGAGCAATGTTGAACTTTGAGCTGGTGGAATGAGGAGCCAAAAGTTGTCTCCTGTTCAGTGGCAAAGGGCTACTTGAGGCTGTCTCCTACCCACCTCTCCCACCACGGGGGAGCAAGCAGGCAGTGCAGACTGTCCCGTGTGGGTGTACTGAAGGCTGGGGTGACGGTTAAGGAGTAGTGTATGTCTGTGTCAAAGTCCTATCTTCACCTAAACTACCTGGCTTTCACATATAAAGAAGGGGTAAGACACAGGCAGAAGAGAAAAAACATTCCAGATGTAATATTTGTATGAAGATATGGTTAAAGGCAGGTAAAGAGACGCACTTATACCACCTTACTGCAACAAACCCCTTTCCCTCTTGCTAAAGTAACTTCAAAGAAGTTAGTGTCATGTTGTGGTAAGTGTTCCCTGACGGACATGGGGACAACAGGATGGACCACCACCTGCACTGCACAGAACTGAAATGCTTTCAAGCACCTGTTAGAACCTAACTCTAAAGGGACTGTAAAAATTAGCAAGAAAATTACATTACTCATAACAACACAGCTTGAAAGTTACTTATATCTTATTTAAGGGGAAGCAGCCATTTCCTTTTAATCATATTGACTTTCACAAAACACCAGGAATTAACATAGAAGAACAGAACCAGGAGAAAAAGCTTTTTTCTTAGTAACTGCCACACAATTTTGAGACTGTTAGATCTATTAGTCTATAATAGAGACCTTCAGTTAAGTGCAATATGAAAAAAAAACAAACCACACAAGTGAGAAGGAGAACTAGTAAAATGCATATTGAAAGCATGCCAAAAATGGCTGCAGAACAGGCAAAAGATTTTTCACTATTAAGTTTAAACTATGAAGCAAGCAAATAATCATTACCATTCAAAGCCCAGCAATGGCCATGGTAACTGGAACTGGCATGATTTCAAGTCAGCAACTAAAATTTAGGAAATATGTAGCTTGCCAGTCCAGCCACATTTCCCATCCCATTCCTTAGTTCTTCCCATTGTCACTGGGGCTATTCGCTGAAAACTGGGGGGAATTTGTATAAACTACACAAGAGCGAAGCCCAGTGTGACTGTCAAAAATCTGACACTGCCCGTGAAGAAAAATTCTATAGAAGTGCCTAAAAAATACATCCTTAAGAAAAGATAAGATTTGAGTGATGAGTTATCTTCATTAAGGGTAATACAGGGCTACAATTTTACTAAAGATAACATGGCTAGGGCCAGCTTTAATAATTTTTCTTCTTTCTAAAATGCAGGAACTAGCAAACTGAAATATCTGGAATACAACTAATTTAGAGAACAATTATTTCTTTCAAATCCAGAGTACGCAAAGCACTCCACAGTAGTGAAATATTTAAATTCTAAACTATTAAAAAATAAAATCCAACTTCGGTTAAAACAAAATTATGTGATTTGATATGGCTTTTAATAAACACAGGAAGGTTTCCTAAAAAAAACCCAAACTATAATTAATCAGGAAACTTTGTCCCCTATTCTATTTAGGTATTCTTGCAACTTTGTTCTGAAAGTTTGAATAGAGATTAGTAGTTTATTAAGACACTTTACTCAAATCTAATGCAGCTGCTCTGTAGCAAGAAACTCAAACTTTGAAAATAACATTTTTCTTATTAACAACAGATGGTTACATCACCTTTGGTTCTGCTATTTGTTGTGTTCTGTACAGATACAGCTAGATTCTGACAACCAAAATCTCAGCATGCATTTTTGTAATGTGCTAAGAGAAAGCCCATCTCTTTTGCTGCTCTACAAATCAAGACTAACACTACCCTCCCAGACCTGCAGCATGTCGTTTGCTGTTTGTACTGCTGAGCAGTACAAACTCAGCCAGGGAAAAGGCTCAAGCCTACTCTCTTTCATAGCCTCATTAAACTAATCTGTGCAGGAGGTACATGAACAGATAACGAGAACTGCTTCCTCAAGACTGCTAGCTTGTTAGTCCTCCACCTAGTAAGAGAAAATTAAACCCCAAACTCTGAGTAGATGATCTCCCATCTTTGAGGAATGCTCAATCATGCCTGAGACGTTTGCTTCATACACCAAAGGATCTGAGAGGATAAAGCAACGCAGCAAGACAATAATAACCGCAGAACAGAAGACAACTAGCAGCAAGTTACTCTCTCCTCCCCTCCTCCCCCACCACTTCAGTGCATCCTGGTCTTCTCCAAGCCCAGACTTCCAGCAGCATACCGTGACTCATCTGGAAACAAGACCGGACACCGCAGTGCCTCCCTCTTTGCCCCAAGCACCTCCTGATCAAAAACACATATTGTCACATTTACAGCTTCAGTTATTCCCTCTACCACACACCAGTGAGAGGATGTAGGTATCAGAGCCAAAATTAAGCACTCCATTTAGCAGTGGAACAAGCTGAACACAACCAGTTCATCTTGTGCAGAAGAGCAATTTGGATCACGCTGATGCATTCTGGAGTGATGATCCTTTCAGTAGAATACACAGAGTTCGATGGATTGCTTTAATGAGGTTAAATGCAGTTCGATCTCTTTAGGACTTGCCCTGGGCACTGTGTACAGCACAAGCTGGGCTCCAGGAATACAATTCTGGATAACATTCTAATACTTGTTTACCAATAACAATAGCGGATGAATTAGCTGCTCTCCACTGTTTTTTTGTTTTTTTTTTTATATTCTTTTGGTACAAAGTCTAGAAACCTCTCACTTTCCTGAGTAACTGACAAAAACCTGACACAAGAGTACACTGCAGGGTAAATCATTTTAGGCATGTGGATGATTTCTCTGGGATGTCATTGTTGCATACGAAGCACAGTCACAGGAAGTCTATCCTAGAATCACCTGCTTTCATTCTTAGGACAGTACTATTGCCTTCTTAAACACAATCTTTAAATTATCTGCAATTAACCTATTGTGTACTTTACTCCAGTTAGAAGTTCAGACACACAACGAGCTCTTCACTGCTGGCCAGATAAATGACAGTAGCTTATATTTAGGAGAATGCGTACGCCTCATATCTGCAAGTGCTTCAACAGGAACAGCACCCCTTCCTTCCCATTCCCTGCTCTGGACAACACAAGCACTTCCAGCGTTCTACCCCTGGTGATGCTGTGAGCTGCACTGATCATTAACATACCATAGAGGAACAAAATAAACACACAAAACCCAAATGAGATAAAAATCTGGAAAAAAACCTTGAACGCTCTTGTTGAGAAAAATGGAAGAGAAAAGAAATGGCTAATGGTTCCACAAAGGGTGAAAAAGGCTAAAGAACAAAGCACTGTAAGAGGATACTGGATGGTAAATGTTATCAAAGACATAAATCAGGAGCTTTCTGTCCTGCCTATGTCATAAAAAAAAAAGGAACAACTAGTAAAATTAAAGAGAGGAGAATTCCTATCCTTTTTTCCCCCCTAAACCAAAAGGAAAATGCATTTAAGCAGCAAAACTATTTTACGTGATGTATTAAAAATGATCCATTAAAAAAATAATCTGTCAAAGTAGCGCAGAAAAATCAATACAGTTTTCCTACTATATTGACTGCACCTTCCTTCTTTCTTCCACATTTTAAGAATGAAAAAATCCCTCACATTGTGCTAATTATTATTCTTCCCTTTGTTTCAAAAACTGAAGTAACTAGAAATAGGTCTCTTCAACAGCAAACTCTGGCTCTGATAAAAATTTTACACTGAACAGGTAATCTTCAGTCATTTTTTTTTTCCCCCTAAACACCTCAAGTTTATATCTTTCTCCATTTGGAAGTACAGTCTACTATGTACAGATAAGGATGTGCCAGTGAAAAGCTCCGACACTGTAACAAATCCATACACAATAAATCAATCAATTTTCCTGCTCTCTTGCATTGAATGCTTTCTGTCCACTTTGATGTCTATCACCTCTAGATCCCTCTCCACTATGAACATTTACTGGCAGAAAAATGTCTTTAAACATCTGTGCTTCTCCTTTTAGACATGTTGTCTGCATTTGTTTATGTTGAACACAGATTTATTTCTTTTCCTCCTATCTAAACCTTCTCTACAGGAGTACATGTAACCATGTTCTTTTTTTTATGTGTTTAGAGTTTCTTTAGGCTCAGAACAGCAGCTGCCAGCACGAATGGAAACACATAGATTTTTACAAAGAGAAGACAATCTTAAGGTGTGACCTTTGCTGGTTATCTAAGATGTTTTGCCGGGAAGCATTTCACAAACAATGGCAATGTTTATGGGTTTATTAGTATGCGAAAACCATTCAGAGGTTAAAGAGCACATACCTCCTAGACCTGTACCTCCCACTATCTGACCAGTTTCAACACTACGTGATTACACGTTTCAACTGCTTTTGTGACCAAGTATCATGACAGCACGTCCCGGAGTCTTCTCTATGAAGTGTTTGGTTTCTCCTCTGTCTTCATGTGACAGTGCACCAGTGCAACCACTAAGCTGCTTGAACACTTTAACACCAAACTATGGTGGGTGCAGGTCCCACAACACAGTGAGGAGCCCCCCAGCCCAAAGGAGCCCTGGTGAGTTCTCAGGCTGCCACAGTATCACCCTGAGAAAGAGAACACAAGCTGCTTTGTGGAGCTGAACACACTTTTTCCAAGGCCCCATATGCTTCCCTACAAACTCCCTTAGCACTCCCCAAGTCATCATCTATACTATACTGCAACGGGGTTTTTTTTCCCTTTTTCTTTTTATCCTTTTGTTCCATAAAATAGTAGCCTTTTCCCTGCAGGATTTAACAATGTGTTTGCTAGGCTGGGCCGGGGAGAGGCAGGAGCCTTGTCTGCAGGCCACAGGCTACTTTGTTGTACGAGTGACATAGGAGCAGAACTAGCTCATCACAGTGTCAGCCTGTATCTTGTCAACACAAATATACTTTCCATTCAGATATACATACATATAGACACAAAGTATACATTGTGCATATGCTTGCATGTACATATACATACTGTATATACACAATATATAGACAAATATCTAATCCATTTTTAAAACCAGTGATCAAATTCAGATTCTTCACAATATTTACTTTTATCAAAAATAAGTCCACACAGATGAACACTGTACATTCTCTTGCAAAAGGTTCAAAATATGAACTATGCCATTTAAAGTCTGTTAAGGAAACAGGCCAACACCCCTGTCATGCACATTACCTTTAAAATGAAACAAAAAGACAATTTAATCAAAGCAGTACAAATATCAGTGTGGATACTTATGCAGATTTAATTCTTCTGTTAAATTAAGTGATAGGACCTGTTTATATCTATTTAAGACCTCCCAGTGCAATTTATGAATATGCAAAGCCTTAATGTGGCAGTGCTGGAGAGCTTAAGGAATACCTACACTAGACAACGGGTGGCTGCACCAGTAACCCTGGGTAATGGGGCACACGGGTCCTGGCTCTCTCAGTCAGCAAATGGAAGTCACTGCGTGCACTCCTTGCCTCTGTAGTGAGCATACGGGGAGGGACACTCTATTCACACCAGCTATTATCACTAGATCTTGTTTATTCCAGGATAAGTTTTGTGATCCATAATTTCAGCCAGCACCTAAAAATGGGGCAGGAAAAGCTTATAGTTTCAGACTGTTTAATTATTCTCTGCATTAAGTGCTAAGGGTGTAGAAGTTTTCTCTTGGAAAATAAAAGGGAATCTACAGTAAGATAAGCATATAAAAACTACAAAGTTAAAGCTATCATTTTATACAGAATTTATTTTCTTCCAGCTCTGCAAAACCCTACAGATTTTCTCCCTTTCCCTCAAGACTGTTGAGAAGAAAAGCTTCAATAATCTGGTATCCCTGATAACGGATAACCCCTTTCCTGAAACAAAGGGTAGATTATCCTACACTCGAGAGATAGTTCAGACACCAACATCAAGCCAGTTCCAAATAGACTTTACAATTTAAAGGAGGACCTAATCTCAGGCAAAATGCCAACAGCTGCATTTCAAGGAACGTATATTGCTTCATCTTGATACTTATTTCTGTAGCCTTTCCAAAGTTACGCTCTATTAAAAGTGAAAGAGTAGAAACAAACATCTCTGAAGCAGCAAAGGTACAGAAACAGCATTTCATAATGAAAAACTAATCAATGTAGAATCCCAAACTAGTCCTGCATTATTTTTATTATGATTTTAAAATTAAAGGGGATTTATAACAACAAATTGGCTGCTGAGTTTATAATCTATTAGTGTATATTGCTAATCTCTAGTCTTACTAGTGGGACAAAACTTTGGGAAGACTAGCCCTGTTAGAAGGCCATTAGGATAGTTAAGGGGCCAGAGGACAGGATATAAAAGATGTTGCCATACTGGCTTTGGTGTTCTTTAGCCACGGGTTTGTTCTGAGTACACCCAAGGGGATTAACATCCCTGACAGGCCTACTCCTCTGCAGAGTGTCACTGACCAATGGACTCAGAGTCTCTCAGCTGAAGGAGAGGTCTTACCCGCACATGGAAAAGTAAAGCAGGATCGTTCCACATGGGACATTATAGGGCAAACATTTTCTGTACAGAATGACAATGCTACCAAAAAAAAACCCCAAACAAAACAAAGAACCTCAATACTGCTCCATCCCTGAGACTGAATTGCTGTTATTAATCCCTACCTTAGAACTTACCCTTGTATAGATCTTCTTACGAATTACTCCCTTCTGCTGGGCCTGCTGGTGGGGACAGGAAATAAAAAAAGTTAGACTGTTTTTTAAAGAAACCATTGGGCAACATCCGTGAGCGTGAGGTGCACCATTGACCTCCACACCTTAAAAATAATAAAAAAATGCAGGTATCTGCCTGCACTCCTGTATGGCTTCCAACCTTCATACCTGCAATTGCAGTATAGAAAACATGGGGCAAATATTCTCATAATAGAGAAGAGTAGCTTATTAACCCCATTATTCAAGTGCTTACAGCATAAACAACTCATTTCAGTCTCTAAAACCACAAGCAGGATTACTACTTGTGTAATCTTTGTCATAAACACTTTTAGCTAATATTCCCATGGTAGCTGACTGCTGTGTTGTGTGTGTCCTGCCCCCCCCCC